TGAGGTTGCTGTGGGCTAAGATGACGCCGCGGCACTCTAGCCCGGGCAACACAGTGAGACTCTGTCTCAAAAAAATAAATAAATAAATAAACCCACAGAACAGACCAACAGTTACCTCATTCTACTGCTGCTCACAAGTCCTTCAACTGGTCACTAGTTAGTGGAAAATGTTACCTACCTACGGTACCTTGGGCGATAGGTTGGATTCCGATGAACCGGTCCCTGAAGTTGTGCTCCCTCTGGGACCCCGTCCTTAATCTCTCCAATCTCACCAGCCTAGAGAGGCAATGAGAACCAAGTGAGTGTCACAGTGCCAGGTGTAAGAGACACACAGAGCACACAGGCGTGCTCAGAACTTTTTTAAGAGGTAAAAAGTAAACTACTTCATTATAAAGCTGGGCACTCTCAGCTGTAACAGTGAACTATTTGTTGATTAGATCTTTGCGTATGACAGGAAAGAAGGAAAAACTCAGTCCTACTAGAACGGTCCTTTGCCTTATCTCAGAGCACCTAACTTTATTTTACTATATTAATTTAGTGTCTTAAAAATCTGTCCAGTTTCATTCACCTCTTGTAAGAAAACCTATTTTGCAAAAGGAAATTCAATACCATTAATGGTTTCTACAAAGGTTCTCCCTCAAATCACTATGACAAATTGCACCCAAATCTTAACCAGACTGCCTTCACCTCCTGTTTCCTCTTTTCAGTTTTTTTCCTTTTATCTGCTTGCCATTATTTAAGTATAACATCTTAGAAAAAATATACCTTCTTGATGATATACTTATTTTAAGCTGGGGGAATAAAATTAATTTGTAGTACAACTTCCAGGGGGAAGAAAGAACTAAAAAGTAACAAACAAATGAAGAAAACTCCATCAACAATCTCTGAAATTCTTTACCACACAGACATATCTCAACTTTCTTTTCTCAAAACTGACATCCCTTCCTCCTCCACAGATTCAAATATTGCCCTTCATATTTCACTAACGGAAACAATCAGAAGATAATCAAATCTACCAAACTACCTGCATTTACATTAATTTTCTTCTCTCTCACTGCACTGGATCAGTAGGTCCATGCTCATCTCCAAAAACAGCCCCCCTCTACTCTTACCAGTGAGAGCATGTTAACTCCATTCCCTTCCTTACTACGTACTTTTTTCCCTCTCTACACCATCATTTCCATCCAGGCACACAAACGTGTCGAAATAGCACCCATCTTCGACTTTTTTAGATTTTGAAATAACCAACTTACAGAAAAGTTGGAATTATAGAATCTAATCTTTAGACCCCCACTCGAGTTTCACCATTTGTCCCAATGCAGCAAAAAGATCACTTAGAATCATGCACTAAGTTATCTCTTTTTGTCTGGAAAAGTTCTTCAGTCTTTACTTGGCTTTCATGACCTTGACACTTTTAAAGATCACAAGCCAGTTATTTTGTAAAATATCCCTCAATTTGGGTTGTCTGGTGTTTTCTAATGATCAGATTTAGCTTCTGCATCTTGAAAGCGAAGTTACAAAAGTGACACTGCATGCCTCTCACTGCATCCTGTCAGGTGGTGTATGGTTCCAACTTGTACCACTACTGACAACAAGGGGTTACTCTGATAAGGGGTTAGGGCGTTGTCTGTCAGGGTCTTCCACTGGAAGTTGACTCTTTCCTTCTTTGTAATTAATGAGTACTTTGTGAGGAAGTACTTTCAAAGTGTGTAAATATCCTGTTCCTCATCAAATTATTCAATGTAGTCATTTATTTATTTATATCTGTATATACATGGTTTTCCATTTTATTCAATGAGCTATAATCTGTTACTATCATTACTGGCAAATGGGAATGTCTCTAAGCTGGCTCATGTCCTTCTGACGTGTTTCCAACATTCTTTGAGTACTCCCTTGCTTTCTGGCACAACAAGATGTTCCAGGCTCATATTGTACTTTCTCTGTCCCAGCTCTGAAATCAACCATTTCTCCAAAGGAGCTTCTTTTTATTAGAGAATGTTATTTAGAAATGAGAAATTAGAGCCAGGTGTGCTCAATGCTATTAAGGTGTGACTGCCTTCAGGACCTTTCAGTAACAGAACTAAGGAACACACACACACAAACACACACACCAAATGTTACATATGGGTATGTGTGTATGGCAAATATATATGCGTAACTTGATCTGCCCCACCTAATAGCTTGTAAGTTGCTGGTGAGCTAAGGAGTGAGGGACCCGGGGGAACTCATCATTGTATTAAATAAAAGGCAAATCAAACAAAAATCTTGCCTCAATCCCACATCCTCCCCCAGCTATTACTCATTTCTTTGAGCTCCTTTACAGACATATATACTAAATAACCACTTCCGGACCACCACCACCACAGAAACCTCCTCAATGGGGTGTATGATCTCTCTTCTTCCCCATCCTTTGCTATCCCTTAAATTCATTCTAATCAAACTGTGGTCCCCACCAATCCACTGATCCCCACATTACCAAACCCTATAATCAATTAGCTTAATTTCCTGTACTTATCAACAGCATTCTTGAAATACATTCTCCCTGGCTGCTCTTTTTCACTGTCCTTTGCTAGGCAGTCCTTACCTTCCTAATTTTTAACAATTGGTGTGCCTCGAACTCAGTCCTAGGATCATATTTCCACCTACACTTATCCTGCCCTGATGGCTTTAAATAC